TCCACGGTCCGACTTTGGAAATTATCATGCATACAATGGACTCCGGACTAGGTGCGTTTCTCTAAGTCTTCCTCCCCTAATATGATTAAGTTGCGAAAACAAGGTCAAACAACTTCTTTAAGGAATGCTAGTTTAGCTTTCTAACAATCAGATGAGTAGTAGATACGAATAATAGCTGGGTTTCTATAAATCTATTAGGATAGCATTGTTGGGGAGACTTACACTTCGTATGAAAGTGCCTGATGAAGAAACAAGGGAGGATGTCCATGTGGACTGAGTAAACATGGAATTCTTATTAATGCCAAACGGCTGCAGTACAGCATGAATCGGCTATCGTCTTCCGGTGAGATCAACCGACGAATCTCTTCATCATGCACTTTCATACAAAATAAAAGTCTTCCAAATGGTAAGATGAGTAGGCTTTAGGAGGCTAACCCATTTCAATTAGCCTTGTTTTCCAGAAGGCTCTCTTATCCAGGCTGGACTTTAGCTTCTACTTCGAGTATATTGCATCGGCATCCCAAACAGGATTTGATACCGGGTCGTGAGTATCGTGGTAATAGGGCATACTAAGAGATATGAATAAGAATGACGAGCTCGATATAAAGACTATAAATTCACTAATAAAATAAAGGATGCACGACCCCAAAAGCCTACGGATTACCGAAGATAAACAAAGAATGATAACTGATAAGCCTGATAGTCAACAAGAAATATGTAACAGCATGCAAATAGGCAAAGTTTATAGCTTTAATGCTCAATAAGCCAAATGAGAGATTATCAAACACAGTGAAATATTCATCTGAATTTTCTCAAAGTATAAAAAACATGGCAATGGAAGAAACAAAATTATTGAAAAATTTTAATGTAAAAACTATGTATACAAACATTTCTGAAGAAAAGGCTATAATAGCCACGCTGGACATCTTGGACCGAAAAGAGATTATCCCAGAAGCAGAGAGGATCATGAGGAAGTCATTAACACGACTAATCAACTTGGCAATAACGACTATCTACCTCACATTCAACGGCAACATCTATGAAGAAATAGTTGGACATTCTATGAGCTTTCCGCTCTCATCTCTATTGGGAAACGTATACATGAACAAATTAGAAAAGGATTTCAAGACGTCACTGTTGCAACCAAGAGGGTTCATACTGTACCTGAATGACTACTTCGCACTTTGGTCGCATGGAAGAGAAAAATTGGAGGAAGCTTATAAACCAGATTAAGGACAGAAGCAGGTTCACAATCGAAGTAGAGGGGCGTTTAGCTTTGCTAGTTGTTGAAGTCATTCGCTCTAATAAGACAATCAAGAGAACATTACTCAGATTGAAGTCATATGCCGGTTTAATACTCAATTTCGAGTTTCATCACAACTACAAACTGAATATCGGAATAGTGAAGAACATGCTGATTAGAAGACTACGATTGACGGAAGTGGAATTTTGGCATTTGGAATGAGACAAATAGACTAGGATATGCCTCGACGACGGATACTCTAGGGAAGCAACACAAAGAAACATACGGACCGCGGAAGCCGATGAAAGAAAAGAACGGATGAATAAAAACTCGCAAAAGTAGATATGTCAACCTTCCTGCGAACTAACTCGAAAATTACGGCCAATATTAGGAAAGTGAAATATTCAGGTGATCACAAAGGAAAAAAACAATACTTTTCACAAAATAAGAAGGTAGACAAATTTGATTGCTCGGGAGTTTACCGCATAGCATGTGGCATCTGCAAAAGGGGAAACAGGGAAAAGACAGCATACGAATCAAGGAACATCAAAGCCTTTGAAGGAAAATGGATACCGAAAGATAATAAATAATGGAACACAATGGACAGACTAGACACGAAATAAATTGAGAGATGACTAAAAGGATGGCCTTATTCGATGAAAGCATAAGAAAACGGAAGTTTAGGGAGGCCATCGACATCCTTGTTGAGTTAGCGATAACGTTGCCTATTGTTTATTGTTGAGCTTACTTCCATTTCGAGTGGAAGTGTTGGGTGAAGAGATTCGAAGTTCGGTTCCACCAGAAGACGACGGATTCCTCTTGACCAGCTGTCGATTGGCTTTACTGGAACATTCATGCTGACGCTGTTTCCGAGGCAATCTCTTTCGATTCAGGTGAAAAGGTGCTAAGCTTCCATCCGTCATATGACGGACATAATCAGAGCGAGGTAATTATCACAACAGCTAACGAGTCAAGAAAACTCACCAGAAAATCCCTAAAAAGTGGTATATATACTCTACATCTGGCCTCTGATCAAGTATAAAGTGATTTGGTTAGTTAAGGTCATATGTCAACTTCTATACATGTGAGTGTGTCTGTATCTGTATTTGTATGTGTATATTTGTGTTCGCTTATGCACAAAACCCGAAGTGATGGTTCAAAGTAATTAGGGCAGCAAAAAGGAACGTCTGTTTTTGGCCAACAAGGTTTGATGACCTTTATCTCCCCCTTTCTACATTTAAGTTGTTTAAACAAATTCGGGGAAAACAAGGATACGACAAAATCTGCAAAAAAGAGATGTCTGTATTAAGGACCTAGATTTTATCAGAGGGAAGAGGACCGTAATGAAGAAGCGAGTGAATAAGATTAAAAATCAAGCTGCGTTCTCAGTGAATGTAGTCGGCCCGAAGAAACAATTACAACTTTGGGGGCTTGGCGGTCACATGAATAGGGAAACGGATGAACACAACGGCCACAGAAACTCGGCATTATGGCCAAATTGACTAGAAATCCACTCGAGGTGGGATAGGCAAAAAAGGACATACCGATAGAGGAGTTGAATATAAAAAGTCAGAAGTTGCGATAGGACGATGGTGAAATATGAGATTGGGGAGTAGGTAGATGTGAGAGGACAGAAAGAGAGGTGATAGCACAACCGTTCGGCAGAAAGATGGTCTTTGACGAGTTGTAGCTTGGTGCTTAGAATGGCAAGACTCAAGGATGCTGGCGGCTAATCGTCTTGGAATGTACCAGGTCCATGCTCCAACACTGGAAATCGTCATCACCACTATAGCAGAAAACCTCGGACAAGGTGGGTCAAACTAGGTCGCCATGACAACACGACCAAGTTACGAAAGCAAGGTCAGACTACTTTTAACATCATGTCTTTCCACTCCATCAAGTGCCTCACATTTGATTATTATGGTGCATTAATGGCTCCTAAAGCTGCTGCAAACAAGCCTCTCTCCTTTGATCTATTCTCAATGAAATCTTCTTTAAACAAACATATTTGATGTGTAAAGCAAAAGGTAAAAGTGATTTGTGAGAAAATCACAAAAGCGAAATTTACCAGAAAGTCCACCGACATCCATTTTTTTCAGATTTTTGGCTTCCAAGATGTTGATAGTCAGCTTGCCGGCGGTCGGAACATAGCGAAGGGAGAAGCAGATGTCACCGAGCTTGTTCTCCTGCGTATTAAAGAGACATAGTAAAGGGAACTCAGGTAAGCAATGCGATGCGAATAATGAAAATTAAATATCGGTCGGTTGCCTAAGTTGTTTGAAAGCAACTTACTATAGATCAAAATAATCAGAGTTCAGTTTACGCG